CCTCCCTCCCCCTCGGATGGTCCTCTTTGGCGCCTTGGCCCAGGTTTTACTGGTCCCTCCCTCTGGGTATCGTTGCTTCCGGCGACGGCCTGGTTGCCTTGCCTCTGTGCGTGGAGTGTTTGTTGCGCATTGTCTCCCCTCCTCATCATGTCTCATGGCAACAAAGGCCTTTGGCCCTGTGTGGGGATCTTTCCCTCTACACCATGCTTCATGTGTTGTTGGGTGCTGTGTGCTCCCTCACTGAGGTATTCGTCATTGTATGATCCTTGGCCCCTTTTTGGACTCCGCTAAGGCACTGTCGTACCTCTTCTAGTGCGTGTGTGTCCTTTCTCACTCTGTCCTCTGCTGCCTCCTGGCTCCTCTCCTCGCTCTCTCTGTGTGGCTGGTGGCGTTGTGTGTGTTATGCTTTGGCCGCTCCCCCCTTAGTGCTTCCCCCCATGATGGCAGTTTTCTTTTGGTTGGCTATTTGTCGCTTTGCTTTCCCTGTTGTCTGGATACCGAGGTTACCGCTCTACATCATAACTTTTCGTTTCACCTTTGCTACATCATACTCATTTGGTAGTGACTAAGGATTTGTCCGAGGTGGGGCGTTTTTTCGTCACCGTCCCCCCCTCTCCTTGTTCCCCCTTTTGAATTCGTTTGGTGTTTGGTGTGGTGAGTCTTGTGGCTCTTTCCTTGGCTGTATGGGGGGGGGCCCTTCTCGCTCTGTTCTGTTTTCTGCGATTTTTTCCGAGAGGGGCGGTAGATTCCCGGTAGAGCCATGGACTAGGCTGCACTGCAGTGAGCTCTACTGGCGCTGTCCAGTTGTGCTTCCTGCTGTTCAGTCTGGAGCGCCCGAGTGCAGCAAAGCCTGCCCACATGGTTCGTTGTGCGGATGTTCTGTACTGCCCTGGCAATGGCCCACTCGGTGGGAGAGAGTGGCCTCGTCTGGAAAACACAGCTAACATACGGTGCATCTGGTCCTCTCCGCAGGACTTGCTGGGACGATGACGCCTAGTGACTCCTGTGTGAGACCTGGTGCTGACGCAGTGAACCACTTCAACCTTCATAGTTTAGGGGAACGAGTTTGACAGCAATGCGAATGCGACTTTTGCATACATAGCGGCAGTATCATACTGGAAGTGCTCACGAGCCCATGCTATGGTCGGAAGTTTCATCAGTCTGTCATGGCCGTATTGTGCCGGGCAGGCCTATAGCCACCTTTTTACCCATGGTCTTAGGGTCTTGGGCCCATTGCGCTCTGACGGTTCCTGCGAGTGCTCACACCATTTTGCAGGCTGTCCAGTGCTCTCCTCCCCACCTAGGGGGGGAAATAGATTACAATCCCTTGCGGTGGTGCATATTGACAGGAACAGACTGCCCTGCATGCGCTGAACGATACAGAGTGGACAGCAGCGGTGCGAAGTTGCTATTGACAAGAAGTCCATACAGGCGGCCTTTGTCGTGTTACACATCAGTCTGCCTGCAAATTGGATTCGTCTCTCTCTTCTCAGGTAAGACAGTCTGGACGATCGTGCACTCTACTCCATGCACTGCCGCAATTAATTAGTTTGCATGTTTTTGAAGTTGATACAGTGGCTTAGGTCACTGTATCCAAGGCAAATCTCATGTTTTGGTTTGGTTTTTTGTTGGGCCCTGCCCCTTTCTTTGTTGCTTCGCTGTTTTGCTTTGTGGCGAAACGCAAATCTGGGTGGGGGATTTGCGGGTCGTTTTTTTGGTTGCTTTTTTGTTTGTTTTGTTTTGTTTGTTTTTAGTGATGATTTGCCAGAGTTTTTGGACCACACGTGTCCGCTACTTTACTGCTTCTCACCGCTTACGCAATTGTAAGGACCGTGCCTAGTGCGATCGGCCAAATCGGAGGAAAAAAAAAAAGCAGTGAAGACTGGATCAGATGCTGGTGGGCCAAAGGGGGCCACAGGGACATCGAGTACTGAGAGACCGGTGACACACCACCTGAGCAGCACACTGGAGGGTTTTGTAGGTAGTGTAGGGATAGGAGATCCTAAGACCTGCTGGCTGGTAGACTCAGGGGCTACATGCCACATCGTTTCTGAGAAGTGGGTCAAGCACTGCACTATGAGTTTTGAGTATCCTGGTCCATCTCCAAGCTTGAAGGGTGCAGGAGACAATGATCTGCCTGTAAAGGGGGTTGTAGATCTGGAATTCAAGGTAGGTAAGACGAAGATTACCATGAAGCGTGTAGTAGTGGTAGGAATTCCTTTGAATGTGATCTCAACTTACGCTCTTTTGGAAACTGGTTGGAAGACAGTCCTTGGCAATGCTGAGGAGAGTGGATTGTTTTTGAAGAAATTGAAACTTCCTTTGAAGATTTCTGAGAGAGCATGGTGGCTGAAAGTCAGTTTGCTTTCAAAGCACAAGAGTGGTGTGAAGGGTTCTGGACCAGCACCGATGGACTTGAGCACCATGAACACTGGAAACACTGTGAACACTGACAGCACTGAAACGAAACAAACCAAACGAAACACTTGTTGTGGTTGTAGTTCAGTTGCAGCAGTTGTCCCTGAGGATGTTGTGGCTAAGGACCTGGTAACTAAGGGAACTAAGGACTCTTTGACTAAGGACTTTGTGAATCATGTTGCCACTTCAGGAGGTTGCGCAGGTCACCAAGGGTAGGTTAGGAGGTTCTGCCAAGGTCAAGGCCAAACGTCGGGAGCTTCAGATGAAGAGTGCAGACATGTTGCAGTCGTTTTCCTATGTTTGTAGGATGTTTCATTTTGGAAGCAGTCGTCTTTTTCATCATGTTTTTGATGATCATGAGCCCAATACCATTGAAACAGACGTTTTGTTTAAGACAAACGTTGAAACAAACGATGAAACGACAGACAGTGAAGATGATTTCATGTCGTGTTGTGCATCTGAAACGACAGACATTGATGATGATGTCACTCTTTTGAAAAAAGATGAAAGCCTTATTTCTCCAAACAAAAATTTGTGAAGCCTCAAAAATAAGGATCAAAACGAAACATTCCCCTTTTCGGTGGTAAACAAAGTTTGTGAAGGGTTGAAACATCCAACCAAATGTGGTGACGCAAACAACTTGGCGTTCAACTTCCCATTTCCATTTTTAATATTTCGATGTGGCATTCAGAATCCATTGGAGGCAAACACATCCTTCACATGTCACATCATCATTTGTAATGTTGTGGCCTTTTCCCAATCAAGTGGTGGGAGGGCGGGAGTCCCTTTTAAATAAGGGCGATTTTTTCATAAGGGCAATTTTTTCAGTGCATGGTTGCTCGATTTCGCGCCGATACATTGCGTGACAAAGGGTGCACCGCACTCCAGAGGCCTTCTTTGCAATCTCAGTCGTGGTTTGGTTTTCATTTGCCCAGTGGTTTCTGTCTTGGAGTCATCGCAACTTTTGTTTGGCTTCTGTGGGACATTGAAACTCAACATCCTGGTACGTGATTTCACAGAACGACTTGCAATCTTTCAGCCTTGGTGATTTGGTAATTTTCTTGCAACTGCTCAGCACTGCCGTATATTTTATCACAAGTGTTATCCTCACAGTCGTGGATATGGGTTCAGCCGAATCACAGTTTGATGACGGGGTTTTTCCGGGTGATTCGCAAAGAGATGAATACTCACCACAGTTCCTTACCCCAGATATGCTGGAAAGGACTTGGTTGGACCTGGATCCAATTTTAGTTTGGGTATGGCCATTTGCAAATCTTCTTATGGCCCGATGGTTGGAAATTGACCCAAGTGCAAGCGAACAATTTTGGATGCACAATCCATCTGGACCAAACGTGGAACGATTTATTGAGTTCTGGACCCTGACCTATTTTTGCATGACAACCGATTCGCCATTAGCCGTTCAATGTTCGTTGGAAGCAAGTTTTCAGCAGTTGCTCTGTTGGGTAGTGGACTTCATGTTTCAGCAGGTATTTTTGAATGTCCGTAGAGAACTTCATCGTTCGAGTGATATGCGAGCCCTGCATGATTGGGTCAGTGCTTTTGGGAACTGTCACATTTTCCACAAGTTGCAGACTGTGAAGAAGCTTTCTCAGTGGAGCCAAACGTCAAATCATCCTGGCGTCAACGGCAACTCTTGTCAGCCGACCGACTCCGGGAATATCGCAGTCAGGGATCTCTACAGGACTGTCTGCGAGTGGGGAACTATCCGCTGGGTCACCATTTTGATGTCCTGGTTCGATATTCACTCAGCGTGCAGTCAGTTTGTGCGCCCAAACTCAGGCAGAATTTTGGCCTGGTTGCGACCCCGATGTGAATTTTTCCTTACAATGTTGGGTCACCTCGCAGGTATTTTTTCCCCCTTTTCATTTACGCATGACAGTGTTGTGGACAAAGTTATCTACATGGACTGTGGTTGTCGCCATTGTTACACTTTCACAAAACGACTGGTCGGACAGAGTTTCAGCTCGCAACGCTGGACAGTTTTTTGCTTCATGGGTCTACAGCTAGCAGATGGAGCGAACCCGGGATCGGACTGTTTCGGCATTACAGACGAATGCCTTTGGCCTGGAAGAGACCCGTCTGCAAACAACAGCACCTCGATGTCGTGGATGCTGCCAGCTCTTTGCTCAGCAATCAGTTTATTTGCCACTTGGGTGCTACGAAAGTGGTGGAATTTTTTGCCGCCAGCAGCTACCATGGAGGAAGTTGATTATGCCACACTTGGGGCGGCACTCGGACGTATCAACATCGAGAGCAACAGTTTGAGACAAGAAGTGAGCTCTTTGAGTGGTGGGCTTTCGGAAATATTCTCTGTCGTTACAAAGTGAAGCCCCCAAGATACAACTAAGTTCTGGGGGATACAAATAGACAAATCTAAGTCTAAGTTATAAATAAGTTAGGGAGAACAGATATAACTCAAGTTGATCAATTTGTAACTTAGTTGTATCTTTTATAAGTTTTTTCCGTGGTATTTTTTGATTTTAAGTACTATTGCAACATTTCGGTATCTTTCTGGGGATCCGACGTCTGGAGCTGTTTTTTTGCGGCAAATTCGATTGGAATCATAACAAACAAATGATTTTAGCACTTTCAGCGCTCGTGAAGGCAGGGAGATGCAAGTTGTGCATGATCTCCAATGGGACAAAATCATTGCCACCGTTCATGTTGAAGCATCTATATGATTCACCGTGTTCTGTCAGTTCCAGAAGTGCAATGTATATGAAAAGTTTCTTGCTCCGCTGAAGGAAGAAACGGCAAATCCCAGCGTTTTCACATCTTTCACCCCAAAGCACAATGGAGTCTTCACGGAGTTCAGTGCAGAACAGGCGACAGCTGCGACTGATTTGCACATCGCGTAAGCCCGTGGTCGACTCCACTTCAGTTTCCGAGAATGGCGACACCAGAGCAAATCCATTTTCAACAAACGGATGCTCCCGGGTAATCTCTATTGACCTGAGCAACAGTCGGGGCAAAAGATGTTGACTGTATGCATGGGCTTCATCTCCTGAGCGTAGGAGCTGAAAAAAATTGTCTGCAAACACTGATTTGTAGTTCTGGTGCGCTTGCTCGACACCCCAGCAACTAATGCGGACACGGTGTTTGCGAAAATGATCCGCTAGGTGTAAGCGGTGGTGATGCTTCGGTCGCATCATTCCAGGGTGCACTTGTTCAAACAGTCTGTGATGCATTTCCTGTCTGGCATCTAATTCAGACCAGTCATTGTTGTTGTTGTCTCTTCTCACTGCGTCCGTGCAGCGAGCCAGCGCCAAAAAACATTCTGCAACAGGTCTCAAAGCAGGCACATGAATCCAAACTGTTTCACAATGCCATCTGATGAGAGCCATCAATGCGAGACATTGACTGGCGGATCCTTTGTATTCATTTCCAAACAAGGCAGGCGTCCAGAGACGCTTGCACCAATGCTTTCCTTCGTTTTTGCTATGTCTTTTCCAGCCGGCTGTGACCATGGACTCGCACAGGTCTTTGACCTCCACTCCAGTATGTTCTCGTGCTGCATTCAGCACCAGCATGATCTCAGTATTGCATATGCCATTTGCCCAATATGAATGCATGCAATCGTTGATGGCAATACCGATGTTGCAGACACTGCGCGCCCTCGGGTAAGCCCACAGGCTATGCTCATCCAGTAGGAATCCCAAGCATTTCTGTCTGAGGTCTATTTCTGCTTTTGTCATGTTTGCCTTTTGAGCCATCCAATGCACAATGTATCTCTCCACATCTGTTGGATCGTTCGCGGTGAAGCGCCTGAGATCTGCTTCTTCTATGGTGAGGAAATCATGCGACGCGGCTGCGCAATACGCGCCTTTCATGACGCAGTTTCCACAATGCAGGCACGGCTTCAAAGCCGCGGAGCCCTTAGCTGCATACGCAGCCCGTTGACTTTCCATGTCACTGACAAATCCAACTATTGCCAAAGACAATGGCACCATGTCGCCAGCGACAACCACATCGCCAGTCAAGTTTTGGTCTAGCCACTCTTCAACAATGCGCGCCGTTACAGCGCTCACTCCACCAGGGCATTGCTGCAACTGTTCGTGAGTTATGGCTGCCAGAGGCATCCATGCTCTAGCAGATTCGAAATATGGCGACAATGGCTTCAATGTGAAGTAAACCAGCAAGGTTTTCATCCGTTGCAGCGGGTTGAGAACGTTCCCTGCAGTAGCTTCATCATGCGCTAAGAAGACCTCCAAAGTCCTTGCTGCTTGTCTTTTCAGCAAAGCATGCAAGGCTGGACACTCTCGCACATACAAACTCAGCAGACGTTGGACATCTGCCATGTAGAATGTGATGTGTTTCTGTCCTGATCCGCTTTCAACGATGCTAACTTCTTTGTAGCAGCCACGATATGGCCCCAAAGCAGCCCGCAACTTTCGTTTGAAGGCGCCTGACATATTTTTGCTGCTGCCCTTTCCGGAAAGCAAATTCCTTATTTTTAAAATGCTGGTTTCACTGTAGCGGGCCATGGCCGTGGCCACATCCCTGCTGTCCGCATGCTTGTGCGTCGAAGAGCTGCTCGTGCTCATGTTTCCTATTGGATCTAATAAGAGCTGCTTTGGCTCCTGGGCGCCACGTCGAAGAGCTGCTTTGGCTCCTGCACGGCTGCATAACAAACGATAGAGCCCAGACACTGCCGCGATAGGAACTAATGAGATAAATTCACAAAGGGTGATATTATCATCTTATAATATATAAATATACACTATATATATATATAGAGTATATATATATATAAATATATAACATGATATGGGTGACTCATATAGAACATGCAACACACTTGGAAATATGCAACCAAAGTCCTTTGCTATTTGCGCTTTTCAGTGTTTTCGCTTTGCAGTGCCGGTCCACCAAGTCTTGTCACAAAAGGTTATATTCCAGCTGGTGAAGAAAATGGAATAGCCAATCCCACGGTTCTCCCGTCAAATGGTTTTGCTGGGTCAGCAAAAAATTGAGGCTCGCGGTGACTTCACTCAAATACATTTCGCGGTTGCTGTGTTCAATTGTCCACACTTTGTTTTTTTCCAAGCCAGGCATGTGCGGCACAGGCACTTCCTGCAAGGACGTGCTTGGAATGTCCCATTGAAGCAACAGGCCACGGGTCGACCAAAGTACACGGTCACAGAATTTTGTCATAGAGAAGTGTTGGACATACGTCTTGTCGACACTCACCTGGGCTAAGACTTCTTTGATGACTTCCAAATCTTCCGCCATCTTCTCCATCTCTTCCTCGTTTCGACATTGCGCTCGCAGCGACGCAGCCGCGGCCTGCGCAACTGTCAGTGCACACAAGACAGGCATAGCGAGATGATACGCCACGAAGAAGTTTCCCTGCGAGCCAAATGAACCTGTGGCAAAGCAAATGGATTGAAATGTTGACAGAGAACATGTTTTCTGCTTTTGCATTGCATCTATATACAGTACATCAGATCTAATGTTTTACACGCCAGAATCGTATACTTTTGTGTTGTCACAACATTCACAAACTTATGTATGTCTTGATTATAAAGATATCATATGAATCTTATATATATAATATATAATATATAGGTACATATATTTGATAGTCCCTGCCGTCGAGCTATAGCCCTGACAGCGAGATATTAATGAATGTATATATATATTACATATATATATATATACCAAGTATTAGCTCCGGCTGGCTTGCCGGAAACAAAATATGCTACCAAAGCAAGCTGTGTTCAAAACACAATCCTGCCCCACATGTTCTTTCGCAGAGATTCACTTCTTTGCCTTTGCTTTAGCAGCAGTGCCCTTTAGGTTTTCTTTGTTCTCACGGATGTAAAACTGCAAGCTTCTGATCTCTGCGTTGCCATCCTTGAGAATGCCATTCAGCGCTTTCTCCGTCAGCAAGGCATCTGTTTCCAGCTTCAGGCCATGGCCTTTGGCAGCAGCCGCCAACATGTGCGTCGCATTGTTGATCGTTTCTTCCAGCGTCTTCTGAACATTGGCCACATTTTGTGCAGATGCCTCTGGCAAGCCAGCTCCGATCGTAGAAACCTTGTCCACCAAGGCAGTCAGACGCTCTGCACATCGCTTCAACTGAGGCAGCACCTTGGCGGCCGCAGAAGTTGCGCTGCGTTCCAGCTTCTGGCGCTTTTTGTCTTCTTGCCTCTGCTGCTTGGCAGCCTCAGCAGCAGCCTGCTTCTCCTCCGGTGTCTTCCGTTTCTTCTCTCTGGCCGCAGGCGTGTCGTCGACTTCCACACCCAGATCTGGCAGCGCCTGGGGCGCCGAAGCGGAGCCAGCACTGCCACCTGCCTGCCTGCGCTGCATGCGCTCACGCGCCTGGCTTTCGATGTTGAGCAAACGCTCCTCCACGATCGTGCGGATTTGTTCTTTCGACATCTTGTCTATGTCAACACGAAATGTCGGACCGAGAATCGGATGCTCGCGGCGCTCTGCTAGCTGTTCGATACGATCGCAATCGTATCCCTGCAACATCCAGTGTGACAGAGGCTGAAAGGCTCCTTCGCTGCCATCCTTCTCCACGTGAGCTGTGGACTCGACCATCTTCTGCACCAGCAGTGCTCGCGCCTGCGTGTAGCACAGGCGACCTTCCATGCCGTTGGCACGTTCATTCTTCGCATCAACGAAGAATGTCACTGCAGCACTTTCGTTCAATACTTCTTTGATGTCCACCCCACGCCTCTGCAGTTGCGAACATACCGCATGACACGGCTTGCATGTGTACCGAAGTTCCGGACGGAACTTCGGCGTGCACATCGCGTCTTCGATGGCCACCTCTTGGCAGCAACGGCGGCACTTCACCATTTGACTCTGTGCAGATGGTACCTCCTGTGCAGCAGTTCCCTGAGGAGCTGCCGCCACATTGGCTGGTGCTGTTTCAGGTGCTTCCGCAGAAGCAGGCACTTCGACCACATCCACCACTGCTTGGTCAGCAGTTGCACCATCACCTGCCTTCAACTCAGCTGCCATAGCTCTCTTTGCGAGGTATAGCACGGATGGCGTTGCACGAAACCTTTGAGCTTCCATGTAACAGCATTTTTTGGCGTTTGAGGAAACACAAAGAAACACAAAAATTACATATACGCGTTTCCATGCTTTCTCTTTCCAGACTTGGAAACAGACACGCGTAACCCTTGTTTTGTACTGGAAACAGACACGCGTTCATTGTATTTGTAGGAAACACATCCAAATTTGGTGAATTTCTACGTTCCTAAGTTTTTGTTAGGAAACATAAAAAAAACATCTCCGCGTTTCCTGAATGATTTCATCAATAAGAATAAACACATACGCGTTTTCACAGTGTCCTTCCAAAAACATACACACGTTTCTATGTCAGAGAGCAATCTGGCAGGAAACACATGCGCGATGGCTATTCCGAAAGGTCATGTTCTAGGAAACATAGAAGCGTTTCCAGGTTTGTGTCCACTGTCGATGAAAAGTTGCCTTTGGGTTCATGAAAATATGCGTGTTCTCAGGCCAGATCCCATCCAGAGAGCGTCCTTTTTCAAGGCCACACAGTTCGCGCTTCAGCGAGGTGTCAGTCCGGCAGCTTCGCAGCAGTTTCCATTGCCGTTTTAAGCAATGAATTCATCATCGCCAGCCTGCCCTCCGAAGGATGGGCCGCTGCCTTTGCAGCTGGCAGCACACCGCCAGCCTTTGCAGCTGCCTTAGCAGCCACGGGCGGCTGCTTTTTCTGCGGCTTGTCTTCTGGGCTGCTCATATACGTGTACTCATCCGAAGAAGCTTCCTCCTTCACCTTGTCAGAACGTGATTTCTCCTTCCCGTTCTGCTTCACAGCCTCTGCAGCCTTTGGTTTTTCCTTCTTCTCCTTTCCGGAAGCACTAGGCCGCGGGGCGGCAGCCGCAGCTGCCGGCTTACTCTTACGAAGCTTTTCCTCTTCCACCTCCACAGTCTCCTCACTCTCCGAACGTGTAGCACGCTTTTCTTTTCCCTTGCGATCCGCAGATCGTGTTGACTTGTCCTTCCTTCCGCTATCCGCAGATCGTGCTGACCTGGCCTTCCTGCCGCGATCCGCAGATCGTGCTGACCTGTCCATCCTGCCGCGATCCGCAGATCGTCCTGACCTGTCCTTTCTGCCGCGATCCGCAGATCGTGCTGACCTGTCCTTCCTGCCGCGATCCGCAGATCGTCCTGACCTGTCCTTTCTGCCGCGATCCGCAGATCGCGTTGATCCCTCTTTGTCTGCTCCTCTGGGCCGCAGTCGGCATCTTTCGCTGCGGCTTCTGGATCCAGCAGCTCCACGGCGTTCCTCAGAACGACCTCCTCTGCGTCGATTCCTCTCATAGTGACGTCCAGAGCCATAGCCATAGCCATAGTAGCCAGATGCTGGCTGCCCTGGAGAGCGCGGACGCTCCAGGTAGGCTTTGGGGGCCTTCACTTGGTAAAAGTGGCAGCCGCGCAACTCATATGCTTCCGGATCGTTCGCCCATTCCTTCCCATATTTTTCACAGGTGGGCCAATCACCATAGAATGCCCCCACTTTCCAAAGACGCCTGGCAAAGCAATATGCTGAGACTCTGTGCTGATCTTTGCTCGCCTCGTTGTCTGCAATGACCCGAAAGCAATCAGGACATTCCCATGTGTCAGGATCCCCAGCCTTGCGCAAATTCTTGCGAGCTCCGCCCGGCTTCCGGGACTGGCTGGGATGGGGCTGCTTCCTATCATCAGCCGGCTTGCTGGCGTGCTTTTCTGTTGGGACCGCCGCAACCGGCTTCTCTGAAGTCTTCTCTCCATCAACGCCCTCAGGCGCAGCAGCAACGTCCTCAGACGGCTTTGCTACAGAGTCTGCAGCAGGCTCCGATGGCCCACGCCGATCAGAGCGACTCCGGGACCTCGTCGAAGAGCTCGAAACCATCGCCGCACACCTGCAGGAAACCGTCATGGAATCTATGCCACAAGAAAAAAAATATATATGTATATATAGATACAGAATATAGATATAGAATTAGGAATATATAATATAAACATGTCTATATATACAAAAATATTTCTGTTATTCAGGCTGTTGTTTGTGGTTGTGTTTGTGGTAGTGGTTGCCCGCAGGCCACTTGCCACGCAGCAGCCCGCAGGCCACTTGCCACGCAGCAGCCCGTAGGCCACTTGCCATGCAGCAGCCCGCAGGCCACTTGCCACGCAGCAGCCCGCAGGCCACTTGCCACGCAGCAGCCCGCAGGCCACTTGCCACGCAGCAGCCCGCAGGCCACTTGCCACGCAGCAGCCCGCAGGCCACTTGCCACGCAGCAGCCCGTAGGCCACTTGCCACGCAGCAGCCCGTAGGCCACTTGCCACGCAGCAGCCCGTAGGCCACTTGCCACGCAGCAGCCCGTAGGCCACTTGCCACGCAGCAGCCCGCAGGCCGGCAGAAAATGCACAACGTGTGTATGTTTGTATGTGTATGTTTGATATATATACATACACATGTGTATATATATATATATACATATAATGTGTGTGTGTGTATGTAAAACATGTAAACACACACACATATATATATATATACATTATCAAAATGATCTACTCCCCGGCAGCCCCGCCTGCGAGCACGAAGAAGCTCCGACAGAGAAAAAACCCTGCAACGGAGCTCGAGCCAAAACACTGAGCAGCACAAATAGGTTAGCGTCATCAGCGAAGGCAGTCCAACATGGCTCTATAACTCTGATCTCAAAACATCCTGCACGGCTAGCAACACACGTTTCAATTTTACATGTCCACTTGCAATGAAAGAAGTTCGTGTCAGTGATCCAGCAGCTATAGCATCCAGCTAGTCATCATCGCTCCACTCCGACATAAACAAATAGGCTTTCGCCTTGCGAAGAGTCCTGTGCGCCTCATTCGTAGGCAAGGTGGGATCGTGACGCAGCCGAGACTGCATCTCCAGCATCTCCTCATGGATAGGAAAGTCTTCCAATGGATATCCCCATTCTTCAGCGTTCTGCTCCACTTTGCGAATCACTTCCCTCAGATGCGTCAAAACTTTGGCGCGCCAGCGGATCAACGCCGGCGGAGTACCCGCAGGTACATGAACGTCGGGAGTGACAGGAGCGGCTTCTTTGCTTGACCAAAGGTCATCTAATGTCCTGCATCTAATCTGGGTCCACTTACCACGTCTATCTCCCAGACGCAGCTGCACGGTTCCATCAGCTAAGGTCTTGGAAACGACGCCCCTGACTTGCTGCATGTCCTATTGCAACACAAAGCTTGCACGTTTCTTCTACAAATGAAAAACGAATTGCTGCAGCACATTACCAGACATAAAGATGAGGAGTACGGCACATATACAGACTTAAACATCTTATACATATATCATATATATATAGGTTTATATATCTATAAATATATATATATATACATTGAGCACGCAGGAGGCGTTTTTTTTTGATTTTCAAAAAAGCAGCCACTTGCAGCCACTTGCAGCCACTTGCCCTGGAGCAAATGGCTGCAAGTGGCTGCAAGTGGCTGCTGGGACAGTGGCTGCAAGTGGCTGCAAGTGGCTGCAATTGGCTGCTGGGACCAAGTGGCTGCAAGTGGCTGCAAGTGGCTGCAATTGTCTGCTGGGACCAAGTGGCTGCAAGTGGCTGCAAGTGGCTGCAAGTGGCTGCAAGTGGCTGCAAGTGGCTGCAAGTGGCTGCAAGTGGCTGCTGGGACCAAGTGGCTGCAAGTGGCTGCAAGTGGCTGCAAGTGGCTGCAAGTGCAGGAAACACTGGAGAATTTTCAACATTCTCCGGTGGAAGGCACCGGAGAATTTTGAACATTCTCCGGTGGACGGCACCGGAGAATTCTCAACATTCTCCGGTGGGAGCAAGTGGCTGCAAGTGGCTGCCGAGAGCCAGTGGCTGCAAGCGGCTGCAAGTGGCTGCAAGTGGCTGTCAGATCGCAGCCGGATCTTGCAATCATCTGGGATGCTACCGTAAAAAAAAATTGTCTTTAACTTGCAAATCCTTGTTGCTACGAAGTAGGATCTTGTCCTTAACCTCCAAACATGTCGGATGCTACGAATAACTAGAACAAGAACGAAAACGAGAACAAGAGAAATAATAGCAAGTTCTTGGAAGGCCTGGATGCTACCAAAGAAGATCTTGTCCTGAACTCTCAAGCATCTTGTATGAGTTTGGTTGCTATGGAGTAAGACTTTGTCCTTAACATTCAATCATATTGGGTGCTTCGGTGTAAGATCGTGCCCTTGACATTGTATCATCTTGGATGCAACGCTGGAAAAACTTGTCTTTAACTTTGAACATCGTGGATGATATGCTCTAAGACCTTGTCCTTGAATTGCAGACATCTTGGATGCTTCGCTGTAAGACCTTATATACCCTTAGTTTTCAATCACCTTTGAATGCTACGGTGTAATTCGTGCCCTGAACTTTCAATCGTCTTGAATGCTACCGTGGAAGACTTGTCCTTAACTTGCAAAAATCTTGGATGATACGCTGTAAGGGGGTGTTGGATGGTACGCTGTAAGCTGTTGTCCTTAACCTTCAATCATCTTGGATGCAAGCATGTAAGATCTTGTTCCGCTTCGGCGTGAGAGATCTTGTGCTTTGAAACATCTTGGGCGCTACAGAGTCAGATCTTGTCCTTAACTTTCGATCATCCTTGATGCTTCGCTGTCAGATCGCAGCCTGATCTTGCATTCATCTGGGATGCTACCGTGTAAGATTTTGTCCTTAACTTGCAAATCTTTGTTGCTACGAAGTAGGATCTTGTCCTTAACCTTCAAACATGTCGGATGCTACGCTCTAGGATTCTGTTTGTCTTGTCCCTAACCCACAAACATGTTGGATGATACGCTGTAAGTTCTTGTCCTTAATGAACAAGAACCAGAACAAGAGCAAGAACCACAACCAAAAGATCAAGATCAAGAACAAGAACCACAACATCAACATAAACAACAAGAACAACAGCAGCAGCAACAACAACAACAACACGAACAAACTCAACAACAACAA